GTCTCTAGTTTGGTTAGATTAGCAATAGCTACAGATAGAAATGTATAATTCTTAAATAGCTTAATCTCAAATAAACACAGGCAGGATTGCCGAATTATAAAAAAAAAAGTATAGTATATAATATTAAATATACTATATATTTGCTAATATACTAATAAAGTTAGTAATAAAAGCAAGAATATTTAAATAAAAAAATAAAACCTAATATAATTCATATATATTATACAAATTTTAAATATTTTAACCAATATATTTTTAAATTTTTTATTATTTACAAAAATTTAATTAAATCTAAACTAGAATATAATTTTATATTATATAATTTTAATATAACTAAATACAAAAATAATTAGTTTTTTTAACTATATATTTATTTATTACAACTACAATATATTTAACTTCAAAATAATTAGTAAATATATTAATATTCTTCAAGTTCATGATCATCCTGCAACATAAAATTTCCGAGTTCACTAATTAAATGAGGTGTAAACCTATTTCTAAAAGGACTATACATTAACCCAATTACAGGATCTGCATGATCCATTCCATTTACTATTCTAAGTCTTAAATCTTCAATATTTAAATCATTTAATACTTGATTAAACCTCAAAGTTGCTTCTATTGGAACAGTTTCATCCTATAATAAAATAGTATTAATAATTATAATAACAATTCAAAAACATTATACAATTATAAAATAACTACAATACCATATCACCATGAATTAATAAAATTTTTTGAGGTATTAACTTCTTTAATTTATTAATGTCAACTTCTCTATCTTTCATTGCACTTTGAAGAAGTAAAATTGGAGAATTCATCTCAAAATTTTCAGGTGTATCACCTACAATTAAAACATAAATTTATGCAATTTCTATTAGGTAAATGAAAAACAAGTTAAATCGTTAATCAATATATACAGATACTGTAACTACTGACTAGTGTACCCGAACATTTGCGAATACTCGTATCTTTTCACTTTGTTTTACAAGTTATCAAAGTTTTATACCTCATGAGTATTTTGTAAGGTATAGAATAGAGCTATACAAGTGCTAGGCACAGTATGTTTTAATAATACGCTGTGCTCGACGCTTGAAAAACTCCGGAAGTTCTACTTTTGAATTGTGCACACTTTAACCCTCAAGTCGTCTCAGGGCACAAATAATGAGGGTATACAAGCCAGCAGTTTACGGTACAAATACTGTACATATAACTAATTTCGCTATTAAAAACTACTAAAAGATCAATATGCCACTGGAAATCTAATAATCGGTATAACTTTTTGTAGAATGAAAAGCTAACTGATAGCTTTATTCTCTAAACTGGGTTTTGCAAAGTTATCAGTCAGTTTTTGGAAATGCTCCACAAAAATTAATTTTACAAATCGTTATAGCTTTTCGGTATAACCTTTTACAGACCGATAACTTTGCAACATTCATAAAGTTAAGTTCATCGTGTGATCTGAGATTACAGATTTCCAGTAACACAATAATAATAATAATAATAATAATAATTTGGCCAATGGTTAAATAGTCACTGGAACTGCAGTAGAAAATTAAAAAAAAAAAAAAACATACCCATAACACGACCCATGGGAGAAACCTCTTCAACACCACGTTTAGTTTCCCAAAGATAATGTCTTCCTATATCGTATACACCTAATGCATTCAAATAAAACCATCAAAAAGACATTTACATAATATCTAGATGTAATACAAATATTAACATTACCACACATCCTAATAATAAACGTATCCGTGCTTAAATAAGTCTCACTAATCAACAGAATATAATAATTTTAATAAATTTAAATGTAAATAAACTTACAAAATAAGTCCAGTAATTTTAGGAAGTTCTAATTCAGGATCAATATCATTTAGATTTGAGCTTACTCTTCCTTCCATAGTTTGGGATTTAATAATTGAATCGCGAATTGTAATAAGGGATGCAAGGTGAGCGCCTGCAGAATGACCCTACAAAATTAAGGTATAAAGTATAATTAATATAAACTCAGATAAATATTGTTGTTAGGAAATAATTTACCATAATGTAAATTTTATTTGGGTCACCACCAAATTTACTTTTTATGAGTAGAACAATGTTAATACATGTGTGCATAAGTATTGAAGCAAAAGAATCATAAAAAATATGTGAGCTTACTTGATGAACCTTTTTGTCCACACCAACGTACGTTTAATGTCAGACAACATAACATCAATTTTTGCCTATACAGTTGTCACAATGTTATATATGTAAAATATCGCGAATAAAATATTTTAGTACCAAATATGTCAAGTTCACTCACCTTAGGATATAAAGTATAATTCGGTACAACCACTACATATCCCATTTGTCTTAAACGCAAAGCTAATAAGCTGTACCATATTTTATCTCCTATAAAGTAATAAACAAATTTGTAAGAACGAATGGAAACTCCTAAACAAATTTTGAACAAAAAAATACCTGAACCCCAAGAACCACCATAAACAAACACAATTACAGGATGAAATGCAGCGTCAAATATTTGAGGATATTTTGAAGTGTCAGGAATATAGACATCAAGTCTATTTGAATTCGAATTACTGCCATAGTAAATATCCTCCCTTCACAACAGTAAAAAAACGATTAATGTGTTGTCGTTATGTTGATGAAAATGTAAAATATAAACAACTATATTATTAAATAAATGATAAATACTTTATGATCCGTCTAATTCGTTTACCTAACACAAAGAATTTAAAATACCCGTATTCGGCAAACAAAGGTATAGCCATAATAATACTACTCCACAACATGGAGAAAAAAGCATAGTTGATTTTAAATATACGCTTGGGATTGTAGGGAAGATGGAATGATCTATCAGTTTGACCTATTTTACGCATTTAAAGAAAATAGTTAAGACATACAGTATAACATAGGATTTTAATATATACGACAAAGCTTACCCGCATATAAATATACTATCCATGCTATGCTATATGCACACACTTAAATGTCATTCAAAATCAAATACATTTGTCATTAAGCGAATTTTAGGTAGTAAAAGAGAATTATCGCCATAACCACTTAACCTACCAATAATGCTGGAAACCACAATGGGCAAGAAGACCCACCCAAACAAGGCGAATGGTGGGACAAACATCAGTATTAAAAATGTTGAACCCACTAGATAAGACCCGCATAACACTATAATTAACGCGTGACGAAGTAAGTCAATGTGTAATCCTGCCATCGTTGTTGTTAAAATAATGACAAAGATACGAGAATATTTGACGAGGGAAGTTAGAAGACTTTACAGTTAATAGCTTAAGAAAACTATTCTGAATAGAAGAGCATAAAATTCTTAAGCATGAACTTCTATCAGTCAAACTATAAACTTTAATAAGAGAACATCGATAGACGAAAAAAATTTCACTAAACATCCTTATTTATGAACGAATTAGGCCAGTGATCTGTTTGTGCAATCTTTATCGTTATTTTCTAATACAAATTGATCAAAATTTTTTAAATTGATAAGATCAACTGATTGATTTTAAAAAAATCCTAATTGTACAAAATTATCAGATACTAATTAAATCATGTTTTTTAATCGTAAGTGCGTGCAAAACCATTCCAATAGTCAAAATAAAGCTTAGTAGTCTTTTATATGTCAAATGAACCCAACTTTGGATTTTAAAAAATAGTTTAGCTTGTAACACTAACAGAGATATGTTATACATAGCTTATCCTTCATTTAACAGTTAATGATGTAAATACATCGCTACTTGACATTAATCACTGCTAGATGATTCTAGATGAAAAATCCGTCACACATTACACGCTCCTCAATGTTTATCCATATACGTACATACGTACGTATAGTAATTAGATATTATAGATACTACTTTCGCTTTGATATCAACCATTTTCTAACACTATGTCATCATATTGCAATTAAATTTTTATTGATATAACTTTGTGATGTTTGATATCAAAAGTTAAGTCATATAGTGCAGTCTTAAGGCATGCGCCTATAGGTACGTAGAGCATATTCGTGATGTTTCCTGTTCGGTCCACATTAGGATTACCTCCCCTATCCTTCATGGATCATGAATAACCATTTCTGGAGATCTCCCAATCTAAACCAAAATAGTTAGCATTAGCGTTAGCATGAAATTGAATTACGGAAAGGGAAAACCAGTAAATTGATTAACCTTATCTGTTATCGGACTCGGCCCCCGTAAATTGATTACTGTAAATACGTGCAAAGTTATTCGTTCTAGTCGCTTCGATAGGATGTGCTTTGGTCATCAAACATTTTTTTATGGATCTGACAACTCTTAAAAAGAAAAGGGATAAAATTAATATGTTCTAGAACTAATTACATACAATAGAATCAGTTTCTTCAGGGGGATGTCTATCCGAGCATATTAAACACATATGTATCGATATTACGTAGGGAAGATCACCGCTATGGCGTGATTGTCAGCCACAACATAAGAATTTGCATGCGATATGCTACGAAAATACAAATTTAGTTAATGCCGAATTCTAACAACTATATCTCTTAGTATACAATTACGCATGTGTTGTTCTCTTGTAGAAATTCTTATTGTGTCCTTATTCACGGTCTTAAAAACGTTAATAACGCTAACAACTGCTAATTAAATTTAGAAAACAATTATTGCGGTTTGCATGATTTTGTGAAATTGTGAATCATCAAAAAAACTACTCCGATATCTGGATGTGAAATTTTCATATCGGAGTAATTAGAAATCATCTAATAATCGAGTGATTTCTTAGTGGTTTCTTTTTCACAAACCGCAATTAAATTGATATAAATAAAGGGTCCTGATATTTCCACACCCTTTTTTAATATTTCCACACTCCCCATTTAAGTTTTTTTTTAACGTTGATTAAAAGTATCTCGACAACCGTAGAATTCAAATAAAAATAAAAATTTAAATTTGGTTAAATAGTTATCGATCAAAATAAGGGAAATTTTGCCGCGACTAATATTTGGAATTTTTTTAAACTTCGATCGAAGGTACTCGCAACCATTTAACCAAATTCGATAAATATTTTTTTATAAATAAAATTCATCGAATTTGGTTTGATGATTGTCGAGCTACCTTTGCTTAAACGTCTATCAAAATATTAGCCGTGAAAAATGGTCATGACTTTGATCGAAGTATCTTAACAACCATCCAATAAATTGATAAATTTTTTTTTATTTGAATTCTACAAAACAGTAAAAAAAATTCCATTGAATTTGGTTGAATGGTTGTCGAATACTTTCTATCAAAGTTAAAAAAAAAAAAAAAAGATTTACATGTGGTTTGAAGATATCAATAAAGGGTGTAGCCCTATCTTCCCCAGTATCGCCAACAAATTTTTCTCGATCACGTGATGATCGATAAAATTGTTTAAGTTCGTTTATGTTA